CAAGAAATATTTGAACTGATAAATTCCTGTGTTGTCGGCCTCTGCTTACTTTTATTTGTTAGCAGTAGTCATGCCCTAAGCTGACAATGCTACTCCTCCATAGATACATTATTGTCAATGAGCATTGTCACCCTAGAACTAGCAGTTACTAATAGGGTCACCAGATGAAAATGAAGTAAAAAAAAAAGTGAAAAATAAAACAGCCATCACATCTAAGGACTGGTAAGCTGAAATATATTACATTTTGGGTTTAGATACACTTTAAACTGGTTCCAGATCATCCAAGGACAAAAATCAGCCTAAGAGCCCTATGAGTGCACATACTTTGGAGGCAGAGCCATGGCAGCTTTCATATTTCAGCCCTCGAAGGTTCCTTTAGCAGCCCCTTTATAACATGGAAGGGTTAAACCTAATAAAACTAAGTAGTGAAAGTTATATGCTGAAACAGTCAACCAAAAAAATGAAGGCAATATTCAGTGATGCAAAGATTGGTGTTATGTTGATGATCTACAGTAAGTACAAGTCTTCTGGGGGAACTCTACTGCGATGTAACCCAGAGCCTAGTTTACGGGCTGTCTTATGCTGTTTGATGTTCACATATTTGGCACTTAATGCTTTGGTGCATGCTGTAGTTGTATGTAGTACAGAATAATAAAGTACTCTCTCAACAGGGTTCTGAGAAAATCCATCTGTTACTCGCTTTGTACATAGCTATTGTGATAGCATTATTTCTCCTGAAGCATTAAAAAGAAACACAACATACAAGCCATCAGAATAAGAGACGATTTGAGGAGTATACACAGTTGATAAAAATTCCTATTAACATATGTTACCAAGCAAGACTTCTATGGCTTGACATTTGTACAAGCATGAATGCTGCAAAGGATTAAGCTTAAACCAATATTACATATATCTTGCTAATCTCATTGAAATTCACTCTTGGCAAAATTTAATTACAAATATGATGTTGTTATAAGTAATCCACAATACATGGGAGAACTAAATATATCATACATAAATGATATTGCCCCCTTCGCTAAAGTCTTTTTAATTTTTTATTTCAAGTCTAAGCATGAACAGGCAATGCAGAGAAGACCTGAGCTGGAAGAAACAAGTTAAATCCCTTTCACCGCACCTAGGCTCTCATATATGATTAAAAACACAGGCAGCAATGTATAGTTTGCCTGAAGCCTGAAACCACAATGCTAGTTTTATAATATAGATCAAAGGCAGTAAAGCCACTTTAGCACTCCATATATAGTATATCCGAACTACCACCTTCTGGTATGACTTATATCCCTATAGAAAAGGGAAAAAAAATCTGTATTTAATAACATTATTCGGTGACTCTGGAAAGAGATAAATTAACGCTATGTATTCATAAAAACAACTATTACGCATATGTTTAAAACAAATAGCTTAAAGTGGTATTATACTCAAAAGCAAACATTTATTATATTGCAGCTTACCAATTATTAGATGTGATGGCTACATTAGTTTTCGTTTTAGTAATTCTTTACTTTATTTTCACCTTGTTATCCAGCCAGTAATCTTTTTATTTTTCAACAGAAAAAGCTATCCTGCAGATGTAGAAGTTAGTGTTGAGACAAACCATTTATCACTGACAGGGGTTCCTACAATGAGAAGTTTTTATTTATTTATGTAAAATCTTATCCCCTAAGGGAAAAAAACTGTGTGCTGTAACTGCTTATAAAATGTTAGCTGAAGTTTGGCTTCAATTTGTTAGTGCATCTAAATCTGATAGTACATCTAACACTCCCCTCCCCCCAGACTGACAGTACTGTTGTCCAAAGGTGCCCTGTGTTCCTTCATTCAAAGTGGAGGCACTCTAATACAGGAAATGTGTACTGGTCAGATCATCAGAGGGAAAAAAGAGAGAAATAAGCCCATGAAAAGAAATGCAGCCACAATATCTAATGATGATCTAAGCTGCAGTATATTACATTTTTGTTTTTGGGTTTAATACTGCTTTAAAGTGAGCAAATAAGAAAAGTTATTTGTTAGGATTTCCATACATGTTAAGAAAACAATTTTGAAATGTAAGAAAAGTCAATGCATGGCCTGTAAGCAGCTGTGTTTTAGGTGTGGCTCCGTTTATTATAATTGTACTTTATTTTCTAGAAAAGGTTAGGACAGAATTGTTAGTGTATCTAAATCTGCTAGTTCATCTAAAAACTCCCCCCCCCCCCCCCAACTGGCAATACTGCTGTCCAAAGGTGCCTCCTGTACTCATCTAGCAAATTCATTCATTCACGCAGCAAATTTTACTTTATTTTCTAGAAAAGGTTAAGACAGAATACCTTAAATGGTTTTCCACTTTTACATTCCCCAGTTTTCACACTTCTGTATATCAAAAGGTCAACTTCCCTCTCCTGGCACAGAACAGAAGTATACTGGAGAGCCAACCCATTCTATACTGTCATAATGGCACTCATTATAGTACAAATACACTGATGAGGTCTGCTAAGCCAAAAAGCAACTAACATTTTCTTGCTCTTGAAAGGGGTTTCAATTAATGATGATACCATTGAAATTCTTTACTAAAGATGCAATAATAGAAAAGATAAAAGTTCTGCATTTAATTTTTAGTAGTAAGCATTTGTTACACACTAATTTAATCATATTGCATACCTGCCAACTTTCTGAGATGGAAACAGGGGCACAATGTAACGTGAAGTATGTAGGCAAAGGCTATATGCCTACCACACCTTCAATTAAGTTGAAATATTATTACAAAATGATTGGTTAAACAGGCTTCACCACTACTTTTCCTTTATGCTGGCTTTTCATAACAACAATAATTTAGAGGTAGGTGTATTGAAGTATAATACTTTCATTAAATATTTTTATTGATGCCTATACATCAGGCCAAAAATAGGGACAACTAAGAAGGAAAGAGAGACACAGGGATGAGGTTCCAGAAGATGGATAGTCCCTCCAAATGAGACACAGTTGGGAGCTAACAAACAAGAGATCCCTGTGCTCAAATCCAAACAGCTAGTGCATGCATTTATCCATCAGGTGCTAAAGGGGTGTAACCACATATTAACACTAGAAATTCTGAGGACCCTCTGCACACTGGTATATACCCTTTCAAGCAGACTATGCAACAAATAGGGATATTTGGTTCACACATATTGCAATACATGCTTAAGCTGGCCAACTGTGTCAAAGTAATCCCTCTATGGCCAGTCCTACTCTGCCTCTGCCTACACAAGTGCTACTGTGGACACAATGCTAGCATAGGGGAAAAGACACAATGGGGAGAGTTACAAGGATCAGGTCTGGCTACTGACCCAACAATACAACAAACAAGAGATCCCTGTGCACAGTTGGGAGCTATTCTCTAAGGCTGGCCATAGATGGATCGAAATTCGGGCAGTTTTGCAGGTACCAGCTGAATTTTGATCTATGGGCAGGCTGTGTCTATTGATTAACTTGAGTACAACCAGCCTGTCAGCTTTTCTTTTCATTAGATTACTTTTCTGCTTACTGTGCTGATGAGGGACTCAAGCAATTTTCTTTCCTTCAACCCAATGTTAATAGAAAAAAATGCATACTATATGGCCTGCCTAAGCCTAATCATTCCCAAAGAATTGCTAATAACCCAAACAATAAGGATTTTACATGTAAGTGCACTTGTTGTCATAGAGCACAGTTTAGTTAGATTATCCATGTGCATTGTATTATATTCAATTCAAATGTACATCTTGCAAGCAAAATGGTCATATCATTTATATTGTCTTATGTGTGGAAAATCTGCTGTTTTATGGCATATCAGTCATTGGAAAACACCACGTTACAGTGACTGTAGATCTCTGCACACCAGCAGATATGAAAGGCTAGTGGAACTTGCTGTTTCGCCAGCAGTAGATTTCACATGGTATAGAAAACAAGTCTTATCTCTGTCCACACGTTTGCAAATGGCATATAAAATTTTACAGATAAGTCAACTAAACACATACATAAACATTGGTAGTAAACACATTTTTTATTATCTGCATGTCTCAAACAAGAACAGTGCTCAAACCTTCAGAGCAGAGAGAGCTGAGGACGTACAAGGTTAGGTTCTTTTCAAAAATTATCATCACTGCAAGCTTTGTATATTTTTTAGTTCACTAATGCACCAGTATTTTTCAATGTCTTTCAAAAGTTTCATGGCTTGCATAACCTTTTTTTCTTTTTCTGCAAATGTATTTAGACTAAAAAAATTCAAGGTCTAAACAACAGTATAGTTGTCAAAGACTTTCCAGTGTTACCATAGTAAGCACATCCATGGGCACATCGTATGTTTACTTGTAACAAGAAATTAAGTTTAACCACTTGCCTACAGGGCACTTATACCCCCTTCCTGCCCAGGCCAATTTCCAGCTTTCAGTGCTGTCACACGTTGAATGACAATTGCGCGGTCATAAAACACTGTACCCATATGAAATTTTTATCATTGTTTTGTGACAGATAGAGCTTTATTTTGGTGGTATTTAATCACCTCAGGGTTTTTTATTTTTTCTTAAACAAACCAAAAACCACTGAAAATTTTGAAAAAAAAAATGTTTTTTCTTAGTTTTTGTTAAAAATTTGTAAATAAGTGATTTTTCTCCTTCACTGATGTGCGCTAATGAGGCTGCACTGATGGGCACTGATAGGCTGCACTGATGGACACTGATAGGTGGCACAGATGGGCACTGATGAGGAGGAACTGGTAGGTGGCACTGATGGGCATTGACATGCATCACTGATGGGCACTGAAAGGCAGCACTGATACATGGCACTGATAGGCGGCACTGATAGGCGGCACTGACTGGCACTAATAGGCGGCACTGACTGGCACTGTTAGGCGGCACTGACTGGAACTGTTAGGTGGCACTGACAGGCACTGATAGGCGGCACTGATGTGCACTGATCGGCAGCACTGACTGGCACTGATAGGCAGCACTGACTGGCACTGATAGGTGGCACTGATTGGCAGCACTGATAGGCATTGATAGGTGGCACTGACTGGCACTGATGGGTGACACTGAAAGGCAGCTCAGATGGGCACTGATATGTGGCATTGATGTGCACTGGTAGGTACTGATATGTGGCACTGATGGGCACTGGCACGAGGCACTGAAGAGCACTGACATAAGGCACTGATGGACACTGACAGGTGGCACTGCTGGGGCTACACTGATCATCAGGGCACACTGATCATCAGTGCCCCGATGATCAGTGTACATGTCCCCTCCGCGGAAAGCCGATTACTGGCTCTCCTCTCCTCTCGAGCTGTCAGCGTGACAGCTCGAGAGGAGAGAAATGCCGATAACCGTGATTGGACACAGCTGATCACATGACCGAGCCGACATCTTCGGCTCTTTCCGTGATCCGCTGTGAGCCGCGCATGCGCAGTGAGAAGGGGAGGACGTCGTATGACGTCCTCCCAGAACAAGAGAACCACCTTGCACCCGTCATATTACTATATGGCGTGCAGGAAGTGGTTAAACTTGAGTAGTGTTGGTTGGCTCCTCTACTCTGATATAGGTTTAATTCAAAGGGGGCCGAGGCCTGTACAGTGTGAATGAGCCCTTTGTTTACATGTTTGGAGTAGCTGCATGCAAACAACCTATGTTAGTGAATGGACACACAGCAACTGTATGGACACTACCAAATTGTGCCAGGCATACAGTGACGGATGCACAGTCCCAAACATACTTTGTCTGCATTTGAAGCCATGCACCCGCTCCTATATGTCTGTTACACTCAAATGTGTGGCTGTGTCTGTACAGCTGCTGTGTGTCTGTTCATAAGCATAGGCTGCTTGCACACAACTCCAGGTGGCTCCAATTGTGTAAACAAATGGCTCATTCATGATCCATGGGCCTCAGCACCCATGTGAATGAAGCCATTGAATTGGGATCTTGATTAGTCTAGGTCAGCTTATATTTTCTGCAAACAAAAGCAACATGAAAAACAAAAACCTCCCCTGTGTCTGCTTGGGTCATACCCTAGGTTCTCTTTTTGTTTTCCATCAAACGTGTAATTGCCACTTTTCCTTCTGTCAGTGGACTGTAATCTATGGACGTTAGATGGTAAGCTCTCAGCAACAAGAATTGCTGTGATTGGTTTTATGTACTCTATAAATCTATATGAAATCAGCACTTATTATTATTAAGCGCCATCAACTTGAGTCCAAGTCCTAGCTAGTTGATGAATAAGAGCTCTAGAAAGAAGTCAGCTTTGTACTAGTCTGGTGAGATCCTTCACCACAGCTGTAGTACAACCACCTAGTAGTCAGTCTCCCTCTTCGCCTGGTTCCTTCAATCTTCCCAAACATTTCCTTCTCCAGTGATCCCTCCCTGCTAACACTGTGACCAAAACAGGACAGTTGTGACTTCATCATTTGGGCTTATAAGGACATAGTCACTTTGATCTCTTCAAAAATTGATCTATTAAAGTATTATGGGCTGTCCACAGATATAAAATTCTTCTCCCACACCAAAACTCAAATGAGTCGATCTTCTTTCTATCCTGTTTCTGTAGTGTCCAGCTTTCACAGCCATAATTGACAACTGAGAAAATGAGAGTATAGACAAGTCTGATCTTTGTTTTCAGTGTAATTTCTTTGCATTTGAAAACTTTGTTGAAAGACGTGAAGCACAGCAACCCAATGTAAATTAAACTGTTAATTTTAAGTAGAAGTGAATGGTTGTTTTGCTTAAAACGAAAAAATTGTGCTAAAGGGGTAAAATTCCTAGACCAGCAACTATCACTAATGGTAATATAAAAAAACCTAAACTAAAGCGCAGTAGTCAGTACCTCAAAACTCAAAACCAAAACAGATAACAGTCCACAATGTGTCCTTGCACACAAAAGGTCCACTGTGAATAAAAGATGGAAAAATCTTCATATGGTGTAAATAACTCCTCCATGTGGAAAAAAAACACACTCCTTGCTCCCACACCAGTGCACAAATCAAAGAATTATTAGAACGGTATGAGCCTCACAATAAAAAGTCATATAGCGCTTGAAAGTGATTAGCTCAGATCCTGGGTATGTGATGTTGCCACTTCACTCCGCCATATATGTCGACAGCCACTCAGGGGAATGTGTATGAAAAATGGAAACACTCCACATATATGGTAACCAATATTTATTAAAGAGAAGACTGAACTGTGCCACAGTCTATGATATTGTACCTAACTGATCAAACAGCAGCTATTTAGCGATGACATAAATGTATCAATGGAAAAAGATGGTGTATCTTTTCACACTGCCAATATTTATTAAACAGAATGCTACTCCAAGCCTTGGAAAATGTCATTTTTCACTAGACATGTAAGACAGAGCCCATACACATGACATCATCATGAAATCCAGAAGCTAGCTGCATATTCCCTTGGGGATTTTGACTTGTACAGTGCTGTCTGTTTTTATACATATGAGTTTTTTAGTTTTAGTAAATGCTACACTCTCTCTCTCCCTCTTTCTTTTCTTTTTGACGTTTATTAGTTACAGGTTGACTGCCTCAAACATGATGCCCCAAACATCTAAAAAAAGAGACAGTCTTTTAATCTTTTATTTTAAAGGTAAACATTTTATAAATGAGAAATAGTTCTATAGCACTGGGGATTAGCTAAAGAGGTGTGCTATGAGGCTTACCCTGTCTGACTGAAACTAGGGATGAAGCAGTCCCATAAAGGACAGGAGTCACTTCTTTGACTGATTTACACATGGGTAGAAACATCTCCTTGAACTACTGAACAATGTAAACAACAGATTTTACTCACCAAGGGGGAAAAAAGATACATCAAAACATGTGAAAAGAACCTTAAGGCTAGATTCACACTAGTATAGGTCAGGAGTGCCTGCTGCTGTGTTTTCATGTATGCCAAAACACAAATTTTGATGTGGCACGACTTTTGGAAAAAGGGACAGGGATTTCTGCTCTTTTCTGCATTTCTTGTGCATAGGGCAGCCCCTTGAAATGAATGGGCTGCCCTACATGGGACACACTGCATTTCTCGTGTGTAAGGCAGCCCCTTGAAATGTATGGGCTGCCCTACATGGGACACACAGGAACACTCGAAAAAAGTGCAGAAATGAATTTCTTGTGCGTAGGGCAGCCCATTGAAATGAATGGGCTGCCCTACATGGGACACATTGCATTTCTCTTGTGTAGGGCAGCCCCTTGAAATGTATGGGCTGCCCTACATGGGACACACAGGAAACACTCTGAAAAAGTGCAGAAATGTGCACACGCTTCATCGCACAAAGCCTAGAGCTCCGCTTTCTGGTTAAAAATGAGAATACAGCAGTTTAACCTCCCTGGCGGTATGATTATTTCAGATTTTTGGTGCTGAAAGCGGGTACCATTTTTTTGAATGGAAATATGTATTTTTTTTATTGTAGGCTGTAATTTTTAGGAAAAACTCACTGAAATCTGTCCGAACAAGAGTCTAGTAAACATCCCGGGTATGATAAAATTTGAAACACAAAATCATAAATTATAATTTAATAAATAATCATAAAAATAATATAAAAATAATAAAAAATTTAAATTCAATAATATAATCAAACCAAAAACACTGAAATGTGAAATAGAGCGCCAAGTTCGCACATTGCTGAGCTCAGTCGCAAAATCGTTTTCAGTTTCTGATGACGAATTTCCCCCACGAATCATTATCACTCAATTCTGTAAGTGGTTCTGATTTACTATCGCTGTTCTCTAGCTGATCTAAACCGCTTTTGACCTAAAGGGACACTTTTTGGACGCCATGGACATTTCTCAGTTTCCAGGCAGAAAGAACAGACAAAATGCAGGCAGGGCGCAGGACAAAGCACTAGGGACAATATGTATGTGAAATTGGTTGAAACAGCAATGTTTTTACTGTGTAAAATGAAAAAAAAAAAAAAGACATTTTTTAAAATTTTTAAATTTCCCGCCGCCGGCGGCTGCGCCCGTACGTCCCGACGTCACAGGGACAGGACACAGAAGCCGGATGCCGGCATCGGCCGGAGGTAGATGGCCGGGGACGCTGCAGGGGACACATCGTGGGAGCGCAGGGTAAGGTAAGTGAAGAAACACATGCCGGAGCAGCGCCGCATGGTATTCCCGAGTGTAGCTCGGGGTTACCGCTTTTGGTACTGAAATGTTACCCCGAGCTACATCGGGGAATACCGCCAAGGAGTTTAATATGCTATATTTCATATTCACCTTACAAAAATCTTTTTAAACATATTTTTTAGTCCTGACCATAGTAAAGAAAGAAATTATGTAAACAATAATTGTACATTCCCTTTAAGGCAATAGGTAAATGGATGACGATAAAGTGTACAAATCTCTCAACCAATCCAAACAATACAGTAATAGAAGTAAACAAATAACATGGTGAGAAAGTAGTATGTAGTCATTTGTTGTTGAAAACCTATTCAAAGTGGCAATCATATAAAAACCTGACACACAAACATATATTTTGGAACTTTTCTTTTTTTAAAATGCGGTTTATCTACTGTATAAGTTAAAGTAGTTTACTCAATACAAGTGGTCTTATCAATATGCATCAATGTTTCAAAAGGCCTAGTTTCTGTGTTTAATTGCTCGTTACATGTAGGTTCTGATGTGCTTTGCTGAGCTTTATCTCTCACTGCAAGTCTACTAGTTTCTGTCTACAATAATAGATCCTATGCAGTTTCTAATGATGTGAAACATACGCAATGCTCCTAGTAGATCCCTTGTCTAAGCTTTAGGCTATCTAAGGGAATTCAGGAGCAGCAATGTTGAACAAACATCTATTTTTTTCAATTTACTCAAATCAATACCATGATTTGGAAATGCTGGTACATGTCCAAATAATTACCACAAACTGCAAATTGTAATGATAGGCTCATTTTGTGCTGGGCCATAGTTTTATTGTTCCTCTCAGATGCTTAGAAGTATATTATGGGTAATGATACAGTTAGTTGCTAAGTAAATATTAAACATGGCTGTTCTGTAATTTCACAAGTAGAAAGTATATTTCCTCACTACAGAAACTTACACCCTTAGCACATTGTCAGTAAACTGATTTACAGCTCATAAAACTGTAGTCATAAATTCTACTAACCTTGAACAATGCAGGTTTGTATCACTACCCACAATACCAAGAGTAAATAGATCAGCTCTTAAGACACTTTTCTCTGCTTTTATAAATAGAATCTTAAATCTCAGTCTGAAAAAATCCCAGGGTGCATAGTTCAAAAGCTTGACATCTACAGCAAAAGGCAAAAGCTGGCCTTACAAATGTTTCATGTTATATCAGCAAAAATAAATTTAAACCACATTAGCACGTCATATGAAAATGTTACTTAAAGTTATATTAAACCCTATTTTTTATATAATATACATTGCTCAAAAAAATTAAAGGAACACTTT